TGGAAATTTTTTCTCATTCGGTGTGTAATTACAAACAAGTTTTTGGTGTTATAAAAATGTGTCAGTCGGAATTAGTTTCGAAGTTAAGGCGAATTTAATTATGTTGAAAATAAGGTATTGAAATATCGTGGCATAATATTGTTGTCTATTACGGCAATGACGTAGTATTCCAGAAAAAAAACACTTTTATGCAGGCTATCTGGCCAAATATGTGTTTCTGAAGTCATGTCGAGCATCAGGGTTAGATCCTTTAACGGAATTTTTTTTAACTAACCCGTATAGTATTCTGGACAAATGCAGGAAGTTGTAGTTGCTGAACATTCTGACAGTTCAAATTCAGATGATTCGGAAGATGAGTTCAACTAATAATTGACTTTGTATTATTTTAAATAAAAATTAATTTTAAATATATTATTATATTTATATTACACAAAGCTAAGTTATTATAGTTAGATTCCGTTATACTAAAAACTTTTTCATCATTAGGTACACACCAAATGAAAAAAAAATTTTTAGGTATTGGTTAAAAGTTTAACATAAAAAGTAAGTAGATACGATAGACAAATTTGGATTTTACCAAAACATTAAGCATACAAATACTAACAATACAAAAAAATAAAAATTCCGAAAATACAGTTTTTAGGTATTTTTCATTCAAAATCACGATTCACGATATTTGGAAAAATCGAGTATTTTGAAGTTTTTTGGACATAACTTCCTTTAGAAGTTTGAGCGACTTTTTTTTTAAGGTACCATTAAAAAAAGCATACTAAAACACACATTTTGCAAAAAAAAAATTCAAAAAATCGCTTGGGAGCTAAACTAGAATTGTTCCAAAATTTATAAAATGTTCAACTTTCTCTGGGATAAAATTCATAAGGATTGAAAATTTAAAACAAAAACATAAATAGTTCATACTGTAACCAAAAAATCTAAATAATCAATTAAAAACACAGTTCAATTTTACAGACATTATAAGTTCAAATTTTTAAGAAATTACTTATTAAAACAAAGAATAGCGATTTTAAATATTTTATTGCAATTTAAAAATTGTAATTATTCGTGGATTTATGAAACTTTTAGAGTATATTATCATTGTAATTTATATACACGATGACACTTTCAAATGTAACTGTTTGGGCACAAATCGCTTTAACCTACTGTTTTACTAATGCATAATAGTAAAATAAATTACTTTAATCACAATATTATTTATAACTGTCTTTGCTCAGAATCGTTTTTCGTTTGTTCGATTGTATTTTAATAATTTATAAATGAATTTATTATTATTAATAATTATATTAGTATTACATGGTTATACGTCCCTAATTCCTATGATATAGATATTAAGTGAGCAAAAGAAGTTAAGTATGTTACACTAAGTTAATAGTTACCCATAACTTATAACGTTGGATTTGAAAAAAAAAATGACCAGTTATAAATTAAAATTGTATCTTATGACTATTATCGACGAGGACGTTCGTATCTCGCGTATTTTATACATTTATTGTTCGGAACTAAAATATGTGTTTACAACACTTGGAAAACCCATTTTTCGTGACATTGGATATTTATTTTAATTCTTAAAAGTAAATTTAAGCCCCAAAAGAATATGAAAACAAATTTACTTTAAACATCGACTCTTCCGGCGGAATCCGTGACGAGTGTTCACTGCGATACCGACGAGGAAACACACTCCAGAATACAGAACTTAAAATATTGTGATTTATAAAAAATAAAATTATACGGAACGCAGTAAGTTTTTTGCTCATATCTGCTTGCTTATTGAAATTTTGGAATTTTTAATGACGACTGTGTCTTCTGCAAGGACATTGAGATTTGCCATGGAATATAAATGATAGATATTATACTAGGTACGTCAATATGATGAATCCATGGATATAATATAATGCAACTTTTTATATCAAAGAGTTCCGTGTAAAGGAACAATATTTGTTTGTTGAAATTTTATATGACAAAAATTAAAATAGCTTATAATTTTGAATTTGAATTATAATAATATCAATTATGATATATTATTTGATTGATTATTTTCGTTTATTGATTTAATTATTTATTTATATGGTGAATAGATATCACTATGAGAAGTACAAGCATATTTTTATAAAAGCATATTATATTTATTAATCATTAAAGAAAAATGTGATTCCTGGATTTTAGAGTTAACATAAAGATATACAGTACCTAAGTAGGTACATCAAATTTACAGTACCTACCTACCATAATACCAACTAGATTTGTAAAATTCCAAGTCAAACATTTTCTACATATATACTGCTGATCACAAATTTATTAATTATTCTTTAATATTATGTTAATTTAATTGTATCGGGTACCTATAATTTATATTTTAGATTCTGAGCAGAGGGATGAATATTTTGATTTTACTATGATGTGTATTTAATTTCTTATTTTTTTGTTATAATTTCTTTTTTGTGTTTGATGTGTACAAGATAAGAAGGTAGTCAAAATAAACCTTCGCTCTCCATGCATAATATATTATAGGTACTCTGTACGTAATCAATGATCATATTGTTTATTTTTAAGTTTCTTTGTATTTAGGAAATAATAATATAGGAAAACGTATTTTCGAGTAATAATTGTATGTTTGTATAAATACTTTTACCATAATAAGGAACTAAAATTGTCATTCATCGTTAAAATAACAAATTTTGTGAAAAATTCAATTTTGGTAGGTGTAGGACCTACACTGTAGGTAAATGTTTTGTGTAGGCATAATAAATGTATTTCTGATATTTTTAGGCTTCTGTAAGATCAATTCATGGGAATCTCTGCATTTAATTGTTTTTCAAAAATAATCATTTTATAGTAGGTACTTACATAATATTAAAAACTATTTACAATTAATGTTAATAGTTAAAATCTATTAAAATTTAAAATATCCACTATTTGAATTTTTTTTTGTGAATAATAATTAAGACACTAATAATAGCAGTAATCGTGTTCCTTCCACAAAATGTTTTTTAACTATTCTTAATTGCATTTATACTTTTGGCATTTATCCCCAACTGACCTTTGAATAATCATTCAATGATGCATTTAATAGTTATTACATTAATTGGATTATAAATTAGAATTTAGGTACTACAGTTTGCAGCTTCTACTACAACTTTACGTTATATTATGTTTTTAATTTTTAAAATGCATTTTATATTTTATTTTTAAATTGCGCCGGCGACCCTACACATATGACATATTATATACATTAAAACTGATACATGATTGCATAATTAAATTAATTACACGTTTTAAATCTTAAAATATTTATGAAGTATATATACTATATACATCCACAAATGAATGAACTATGAATATTTATTAATTGTATGAGCTATATAAAATGTATAACGATTATTAGTATATTGCATATGTTTTAGTAAAAAACTAATAAAAAAACATGAATAATTCCTAATTTATGTCATACGGGTTCATCTAGCTTTTAGATTCTAGCAAATGGTACGTCAACTGTGTAACTTTTTTAATCGTAATCCGTTTTGAAAACGTCCAAAAAAGAGTACCTAGGACTTATGTATGTAATACTGTGAATCTTGATAACAACAAATTTATATTATTCAAATTTACAGTGTATTACCATATTATATAATTAGGGATCAAGAATAATAATTATGGTAAACTATATAATTGCAAAATATTTATTACCTAGAGGGTATAATAACGGGCTGCATCCGAATTGGTTCCTATACCTGAAAATTGACATCCGAATTGGTTCCCGACATTCCAGGCAACACACATCCGAATTGGTTCCCGATATTCTAGGTAGGCGGCACACGTCCGAATTACGGATTTGAATTTTTAAAAAATGTTTGCTATAAGTTTTTGCCTCAATAAGAGAAAATAATAATTATAAAAAAAAATGCATGAATTAAAAAAAAAAAACGATATACCTGTATTTATAATATTTATTTTATATTTTTAAATTAAGATTTGAATTTTTAAAAAATGTTTGTTATAAATTATTTATTAAGCGAACCCGGGAACCAATTCGGATATACCTTTTGAAACAACCCGGGAACCAATTCGGACGTTTCGAATACAAAGAACCTATTTTCAAACCTATTATTATGTGTAAAAAAAAGGTATATTCGTATATTGAGTCGGGGGGGGGAAAAGTCTCAGTCTGGGGGGGAACGTCAAGATTTTGCCGTTAAGATTCCGGGGGGGGGGACGTCCAGGTACCGATTATACTGTACACCACTGCTGTATGTCTGACCGGCTTCTACTGACAACTACTCTAGGTATTCTATTTCTAGGCAAGGCCAGTCTATTAGTATAAGGTCTATGCAGCAGACTGGTGACTATTATCTATGAGTACAAGGTACTTTACCTACAGTCAAGGTGGATATATCCACCTTGCCAACAGTGAATATTATTATCATCATGACTAAATAGTCATGGTCTCTTGGATCAATCCACGATGTTCTGTGTTATTATCACTTTTTTATCATTTATGTGCGGCTCAAGTGATAACTCAAACTGGTAACTTTAAGATCTTGATTAGGTACCTTAAATTCTGGAAACAGTGGAAACTTTACTAGTTTACTGTATTGGCATTATATGTCGGTACCTCTACTTTGAGGGTTGCACAGTTCCAAAGTCCAGTGTGAATATAGGATGCATAACACTACATTTTTTAATTAGATTTTCTATCCAACCTACTTAAAACTTAGTATTGACAAGTCTCACAAAACATTGAACTATTCGATTTTAAAGATAATATTCTTCCATCACATCAAGTGTAATATTTCTCTAGTGGTCGGTGCATTATATTATTATTGTACATAATTACTATTTGTTATACCTATGCAGGTAAGTTTTTACTCAAAACTGTATGGGAAAAATGTTGTCTGTTTCATTGAGCATATATTTATTTCAGGATTTAGATCATTAGAGGACAATTTACTGGTTTATCTTGTTCATGCTCTGTTTATGCAAAAATTATGGCATCTGCTACAATCATAGTACGTCATTTTCCTCCACAAATTTCGTCTGAAGAAAAAGAAGAATTTCTCAAGTATTTTGGCGCCAAGTATGTTAAAATATTGACATCTAAAACGAATCGGAGATGTATAGCTTATGCAAGGTAACTTATTTTTTCAAAAATTCTATGCATTTTTTTTTTATTCACTGCATGCTGCCCATATTTTTAGGTTTGAATCACAAGAATTTGCAGAGGCTGTTATCCAACGTTTGCATCAAAAAGAACTATTGGGGTATAGGTTGACTGTCGAATTGTCTGAAAATGATCTTGACATAAATCTAATGAAATGCCCTAAACCACTACCAGTAACTGAATGCAATACTGACAAAATAAAACAGTTACAAGAGGATTATTTAAAAAAATTAAATTGTTGGTCAGCTGCGATCGACCTAAACCAACCACCACCACATCATCTGCAGTATAGTTATCCCAACCCGAACCCTCACATACTGTCAAATATTGCCAATGCATTAGCTTGTAATCAGAAGTTCTACTACCAAGTCTTACATTTGATGAATCGTATGAACCTGCCAGCACCTTTTGAACCGGTCATTGGTTGCCCCCTGAATAAGTTAATACAAATCGAAACTGCAGATAAATATACCACTACTGATGAAACTGATCCAGAGCTTTCAGAATCTGAAATGGAAAGTAATGATGAAAATGATCATAATGTAGAACCTAAATTATCTATGTTGAAAAAGAAAATATACAAAGTCATAAAACCTAAGCGTTTAAAGAATGTTGCAATTACAGCATCAAAAAAGGCCAAAGTTGAATTGGCCAATGTTTTTGACACTGTTGAATGTGAGAATATACCAAAGAAGATTGAAGTCAAAGTATCGGCAGAACTAAAACCTGCGGAAGGACCAACTGCCGATACTGAAGGAGGATTTGGTGTAATATACTCAGTAAAAAGTATGAACAAAGAAGAAGTTAAAAAAGAAAGCGAGTCAGATGATGATACAACAGGAGATTGTATCAGTAAAGAAGAATTAGCTACTAATAGATTATCAGATAAAGATATGAATAATATGCCAATTTTTAAGAATTATTATCCAGGAGCTCCATCTTGTAGATTATACATAAAAAATTTAGCAAAAACGGTGCTGGATAATGATTTAAAATATATTTATAAGAGATTTTTTAAATCTGGTGATCTCAAACCAGGAACTATGTTAGTAAAATTTAATATTTGTATTACTATTTACTATATTAATTTATATTTTAATATATAATTGGTTATGTTGTATATTTGCAGGTTTGATGTACGATTAATGCAAGACGGACGTATGAAAGGTCAAGCATTTGTGACATTACCATGTGTAGAAAACGCCCATCAGGCGCTGAAAGAAACTAACGGATATATTTTAAAAGACAAACCTATGATCGTACAATTTGCCAGATCAGCTACGGCAAAATAAGTATTAATACAATAATTTAATGCATTCAAATTATAATCACTTGTACATAATATGTTTATATTTAAAATGTCATACATTCATACATAAAGAATAATTAATAATAAACAAAAAAAAAAAATCAGTTTCTTCTCCTTCGTACTCTGGAAATTCTCCACGAATTTGGTTCTTCATATTTGTTATAAAGTGGTTCTAGTCGTTGATTCTTTTTGAACTTGCTCAACTTGGTTGGATCAGAGAATTTGAAGAACGCTGGTGCAAATTCAACAAGCCACCTCGGATCTATTGTTGTTACCTCACGCATGTACTCTTTGGTTGTTTGGACCAGCTCGTGATACATTACCCTGATAAAATATAATTAATTTCATTTTGTGTAATATTAATGCATAATTAATTTGTTTATCAATACAAACCATTCAGGTTGCCTGTTGAACAAAGCACTGCTAGGATGAATATAGACTGCCTGTCCATCAACAAGAGTACGATAACCTTCTTGTGGATCTTTTTTAGATGCATTACGGAAAAATCCGGAACAAATAGCCTTCTGTATTCGAGCTGTGTTCTTACCGGCCGAAACCACATCTAACTTATGTCTACAAAAATGTATAGTTACATTTTAAAAATGTATCAGAGTTTAAGTATTTAGAATTTAATTATTACCTATCCATGATTCCAAGTAATTGTTTACGAACATCTTGGGCTCGTTTGAGTGTTCGTACTTGGACGAAATTCTCATAGCACCAAGCATTACTAAACTTATTGTTTTTCCAAGAGTTGTACACTGCCAGAAGGGTTAAGTGATCTCCTTCAACTTGATTGAACTTTGCTTTTTTCTGATCAGCCAATGCTTGCTTATCCTTTGGTCTATAGAAAACATTTTGAACGGAAAGCATGGATACAATAGTCAATATTTCTTCAGAACATTGAAGGTGAACAGACATTATCAACATTTTGGAGAGGTTAGGTTCCAATGGAAATTCTGCCATCTGAAATCATATAATTATAATTTTCTTTATTAAATATTCAAATTAATTAAATCAGGTACATACTCGTCTTCCCAATCTGGTAAGTAGACCTTCATCATCTAATGCACTTAAAGAATGCAATGATTCTAATGCCATGATTAAACTTTCAACCGGTGGAGCATCCATGAAGTCAAAATGAAGTAAATCGTTAATGCCCATAGTTTTCAGTTGCAATACCTGGAGAGTAAATAATTTTTAAATTGATACTGTGACAAATAAGTGAAATTAAATATTTAAAAACATACTGTGGTTGCTAAATTTGTACGTTGTATCTCAGGAACAGGTGTTGGTAACATTTCATCTCGATAGGCTCTCTCTGTATAAAGTCTGTAACATTTACCTGGTCCAGTACGGCCAGCACGACCAGCTCTTTGTTTGGCTTGTGCCTAAAATTACAATATTGAACACATAATTTAATTGAATATTAAATCGATATTTAAAATTTTATACTGCATTAATATACAACAGTTAATTTTGTATAACATTGTGACCCATAAAGAGGACACCACACGAGCATGTGTTGTCTTCGTCTTACAAGTGCGTAACATAGCAAATTAACCCTCAGGAGAACGCGTTTAGCTCTATTAGCTTAAAAATTAGAGTGAACGACCTATTATGAAATTTGATGGTAAGATCAATATACTGTGATCGTATGTTGGTTTTTTATGATAGTTGAATTTTTTAGCAAGTTACGCAAATATAATATACTTTAAATTAACAGAGCTAAATGTGATTTGCTGAGCGTAAATTTGCTATGTTATGCCACTTGTAAGACGTAGACAACCTATGTGGGTGTGGTGTCCATATAAGGGTCCTAGCTACGGGCAACATTTAGGAAATTCTAATCACGTCTTAGTCTCCTGGGATCTATGGTATTTATTAGTGTGAGTGAAATTCAATGTGGGTATTTTGTATGAGCATGTACATGTCAATAATTCGATAACAATATAAAATTCACTATACAAATTTTACAACAACTAACTTATTATTTTAACAAAATTAAAGTTAGTTAAAGTTGTTTGATTTTGGTTCTGAAAAAATATTTGTATTCAGCAGAAAAATGTCTGTAGATTGCACGAAACACTTTCCGTTTTTAATTTTAATTATGATTTGAAAACTTTATATTTTCAAGTGTTCATTTACAGTTCACAACTGGAAAAGATTTAATTTTTACAAAGTATTCCGTACAATCTATAGACTATTTTTTGTTAGGTTCAAATTTACTTTCTCGGATCAAAGTTGGAAAGCTTAAACTAACTTTAATTTAGTACAAAATTAAGGTGTTGAGCTAAAGTTGATGGCGGAAGCTAGACCCCTTAATAAAAAAATATTAAATACATTTCAATATTTTTAATTTACAAACAGACATACTTGAGAAATCGGTGTGACAACCAAAGAGTCCATTCCAGTTTTTGAATTATAAACTTTTTGTTTTACAAATCCAGGATCGACGACATAATAGATACCATCAATTGTCAACGAAGTCTCAGCAATATTAGTAGCAATAACAACCTGAGGAAAAAAAATATTAAAATCAATATGTACATACAATAATTTTCCAAAAATTTTTTTTAATGGTTTGATAGAATCATGTTTTATTTATACTTTTCGTGATCCAGGAGGAGCTGCATCAAAAATTCTAGTTTGCATTTCACTAGGTAGAGCTGAATATACAGGTAAAATAATCAACTCTGGTATATCAGGTCCTAATGACTTCATTCTCTCATATAAAATTTCACAAGCCGTATCAATTTCTTCTTGACCTGTCAAGAAAAGCAATACATCACCAGGTGGTTCGCGTAAATGTATTTGCATAATTGTGATAAGTGATGCATCCAGATAGTCTGTTTCAGGTTCTTTAGTATATAAAACTTCTACAGGGAATGTACGTCCAGGAATTGTGAATATGGGTGCTTCAAAAAAGTATTGAGAAAATTTCACAGCGTCTAGAGTAGCAGATGTTACAATTAGTTTTAGTTCTTTCCTTTTTGTGACAGCTTGTTTTAATAATCCAAATAAAACGTCTGTGTTTATTGTTCTTTCGTGAGCTTCATCCAACATGATCACAGAATAGTTTTTCAGGTCAAAATCTACTAGACATTCACGCAGCAACATGCCGTCTGTCATGTATCTAAAGACAATAAAAAATATTTTGCTAGACGTTCAAAGAATATTATTATAAATGAGATAGTAAATCATTAATCATACTTGATTACTGTCTCTGGACTAGTGCAATCTTCAAAACGAATAGTGTAACCAACTTCTTGACCTAATCTGCATCCAAATTCTTCAGACACCCTCTTTGCAACTGACATGGCTGCTACTCTTCTAGGTTGAGTACACCCGATTTTACCTCTTGATGTAAACCCAGCCTCGGCTAAATATTGAGTAATCTGAGTGGTTTTTCCTGAACCAGTTTCTCCAATGACAATCAATATTTGGTTGTCAGTCACAGCCTATTGTAAATTAATATGAATATGTACATTTGTATTAATTTAAAAGTCACTTAGATATAATATGTTATAATACTATGTATTACTTTGATGAGTTCATCTTTGAGCTTATAAATTGGTAAACTTTGTCTCTGTTCTAAGAGAGTCAAGTTGGTCTTAATTCCAAATGAACTTTTTTTGCCGCCAATAACGTGTTTCTTCCATTCTGGTACATCTTGGGCAGTCAATCCAATTCCTCGCATATTTGAAGCTAATTGTCTACTATCGTCTAAACATTTTTCAAAATGATAAGTAATTATTATAAGTAAATTTTATACTATGCATATGGACATCAATATTACTTACTATCTGGTAGAGGATCAATCCAATTTTTAGTAACATTTTTAGGCACTGAGTCCATTTCTTGTTCGCGTGCTAACATTTTATGTTCTCGGCGTTCTTTGGACAATGCACTTTGCATCATGGCTGCTTGTGCAAGAGAACCATCTGGATTCTTAACTATACGAACCTAAAAAAAAAAAAAAAAATAACTATTATACATTTATAATGTTTAAAAATAAAAATTAAGTGTTGTGTCTTAAGAATTCTTTTATAAAAGAAAATTTATGATTCTACTAAATAAATAAATCAATGTAACTACACAATAGCCTAACATTAACTTTTATAATTTTGTTCTATTTGTAATGCATACTGGGCTAAGATCGTGGAGATTTCTACCATGTCCATGTAAAAATGGAGGTTCATCTTCAACAATTTCAATTTCAATATCTTGTTCTTCTTCAGTGTTATCTTTGGGTAAAATGCCAGTTTCTTCATCAAAATCGGGAAGTTCACTTTTATCAATACAATTGGCTGATAACATCTATAGTTAATAATTAAAATCCAGCTTAAGTAAAAGAAATATATTATTTTCAAATTTATTTATGTAAATTTACTTGTTTTATTTCCCAACGCTCTGGAGATGAAATCTTATTCATACGTTTTAAATTTGTCATTTCATCTGCATCAGCAATTGTCTGTAGTTCCAATAAGGAAGTAGGTCTGTCAGGGTTACGGCCACCCATCATATCATCGTCTTCACTAAAATTATTAAAACAGAAATAATATAGATATTATGTTACCTAGATACCTTCTAGAATATGCCTGAGGACTATGGGACCCCTGTACGGCAGTAGATTCTTCTCTTTGTGTCCAGGGATGATTTTTAAGTAGGGATGGGCCGATACCTCTTTTTACTAATATCCGATACTCCGATATATATGCAACCAATAAAAAACCGATAACCGATATATTTGAAGAAAACCAACATTTTCAGCATAAACAATGAACCGATATTAAAAGATCACCGATACTATCAACCCAAATACTTTTATCATTTTACATTTAACTATTACAATTTATAATCAATGCTATTATGCTGATAGATTTGTTTTTTTTTTTTGGTATCATTTCAAATATCGGTTTAAAAAAAAAACCGATACCGATAAACCCGATACCACCAATATCGAGTATCGGTTTTAGTATCGGCCCATCCCTATTTTTAAGCTCATCAGAGTTTATTCTGAAAAATTAATCATCTTCCTCACGACAACAATCCAGTTATGCATAAACTCGGTTTTGTCTCTTTAGCCGATAGAAGAGTTGAGGCTAACTTCCTCTTTTTACACAAATTAATTGATGGATGTAGTGATGCCCCTACCCTACTCTCTCAAATCAGTTTTATAGTACCATCCTGTCAAACTAGATCGTCTACTTCCTTCGTTATTACTTCTCTCAATACTAATTAACGCAGAAACCAGCCAATTGATAGGATAACGCCCTTTGGCAATGAGCACTCTCACTTGTTCAATGTATATTAATAAATTACTGCTATTATTATATTATGTACCTAATTATTTATATTTCTTATATCATGTATTTTTGTTTAATAATTTTAATATGTATTATTATTACACAATACACATGCTATTGCATGTAATCTTCACAATATTTAAAAATAACGACTTGTAAAGACTAAAGTTGGTTAAGTGTAACACCCGCTTAGGTTAAATATATATATTTTTGAGAATTATATTGGGCTCTCTCCCCGTAATCAAATAAATAAATAATATTATATCATACTCTAGATCTCCAGGCTGTATCATTGGATTTAAGTCTTCTCCAGTGTCTTGATCAACATCTTTCATAGACAATGAAATTTTTTGGTTACCACTTATTGATAAGACTTTAACCTGTAAAAATTGATTATTGAATTACTAATATTTTGACAATTCACTGAGTTTTCAAGCATGTCAATGTTGCTAAATGATAATTACTTACCATGACTTTATCACCTCTAGAAACAACATCACTAACAGAAGTCACTCTTCCTTTTTGACGTAATTGTGAAATGTGCACAAGTCCTTGGGATTGACGAAACATATCAAGTTGAACAAAACAACCAAAGTCTACAATATTCAAGACTTTGCCAGGATACACTTTTCCCAGTTCTGGAAATTTGCTCTTTGATTCAATTCTAAATAAAATAACAATAGAAATATATAAAAAATCGATTTTTACACAAGATCATACATGTCTTCAGAAGGATAAATTGAAAATTTTTGTATGTGCAATTAAAGAATATAGAAAATATTAAATTACATACTCTTTCTCGTGTCTTTCTTTTCTTTGTCCATCATTGCTTCTGTCACGTTTATCACGACTCCTATCCCCCTGTCTATCACGATTTCTGTCACGTTTATCATGACTCCTATCCCTCTGTCTATCACGATTTCTGTCATGTTTATCACGATTCCTATCCCCCTGTCTATCACGACTTCTATTCCTTTGTCTATCACGACTTCTATCCCTTTGCCTATCACGACTTCTATCTCTATATCTATCACGACTCCTATCTTTTTGTCTATCTCGCTGTTTATCACTTCTGTCATGTTTTTCTCGACTTCTACTTCTGTTTCTAGAATTTCGCCTCCTGTGTTGTCGATCATGACTCTTAGAACGACTTCTAGACAAACGTTTATCATCTGAAGCATTAGGCTTGTTAGTTTCATCTTCAGTGCCACTAGAAATAATTATTTAAATACAATATTATTAATTAAGTCTGATTTTTATAAAATTTATACATACTTTGTGCTAAGAATTGGAGCAAAAGACTCTAATTCTGCCATGACAGCACTAATGGGGTCATTTTCTTCACCAACAAGGTCATTAGGTATGGCTAAACCAGGAAATTTACATGCAAGTGTGTCACTTTTCTCAATATTTTCATATGATTTATTTCCTGTTCGTTTCGATGTTTTCGGTTGCATGTGCTGTATAATACGCAGCAAATTGGCAATAAATGAATCCTTCAAAAAAAAAATAATAAATTAATAAATAAATACATTTCCTTCTATAATATATATTATGATGATAATGTAAACTAACGGAAAATTCAGCTCCATTTTTCAGAAGAGCTTTTTTGAATGCTTCTAATGTATCATTTTTGTAAGCCAAGTCAATAATAAATTCAGCTAGAAATTAATTAAATGTATAATATAAGGAATAATAATAGTAATAACAATAAGGAAAGAATCAAAAATCAGGTTTAATTAATGATGTCTTACCCAAATCTTTGTCGTTGAGTCCCAAATGATTTTCTAATTCGGTACATATTTTTGATACTAATGACAAATGTTCCAATTTTGGTAATTCATCCATAGTGATACAATTATTTAATATTATAATTATTATTTTAAAACCTAAACATAACACATGATCATGAATAGTGATCACTGGAACAGTGGAACAGTCGAACAGTGAAAAATGAAAAACATAAACCAACGGAATATTATCAGTAAACAACAAAAACCGTGTTTTTATTATTTTAAATGTTTGAAAACAATTGATATGGATCGGGAGCCCCAACGTTGTGGAAATGATTCCTTTTAGTTTTCGTCAGGTTGGCGTTGTGCTTATCATTGAAACGAGAGACTTTTCAGTTTTCAATACGATTCAACTATTATTATTATTATTATTATTATTATTGTAATTTCTAATACTTACACATAAAAAAATTCATATTTTATTTTTCGAATAAAACGAGACTTAGTCAATGTTATCTTTATTTCGTTTAAGTTTTCTTGTATGTTTTGTAGCTTTGTACTTTTGTGTTTAGGGTAAATAACTAGTGTCAGTGTCAATGTATTTACTGCGAAATTCAATAATTTGCAGTTGCAGACAGCCAAAAGAAAAATTAGAATAATGAATATCAACGCAGATATTATATTATCCATCGGAATTCGTCCATAAACATCATAATGTGAGTGTATTTTTTTTAACTATTTCACTAATAATCACTATTATTAACTATACCAAATAATGAAATCAAATCGCATAGGTTAGCCTATATACACAGAATACTAAAATGTCTGGTAGTAATCAAATGTTTTCCACATTTTTTTTAAATATATATTTTTAATAGGTTTTAACTTGTTTTTTTTGTTGTTATATTGATGAAACTAAAGGGATAAATATTCTTTTGTTAGTTTGTGGTCATACAGTAACAAACTTCTGTCACCATTATTCATTAAACGATTTATTAACTACTTCATAATTGGGTAGGTACATAAATTGGATTGTATTACACTCAATATTTTGTTACTTGTAATGTTATTTAAGTAGGTAGACGATTGGTAAATGTTTGAGACACAAATACCAAAATATCTAGGTATAGATCTAATTATTTTTTACTTAAAAATATTATATAGTTGTACCTATTACCTATATCATAGAATTTAGTTTATCAGTGTTTACTTTTAGGTAGGTATTCTATGTATAAAAATGATAACCATTTAAAAACATTGTGTTTTAAAATATATTTTGTATCATTGACATTTTGAATTTTTCAACTTGAAGTGTATGATTATTAAGTTTCAAAGAAAAAATATCTCATAAACTTTAATTACTTCTGAATTTTCACCTATTGAGGAAAATATTGACCTTGTGGTTTGGTTGTTTTAAATAACTTGTAAACTCATAATATTTAGGAACTATGTAGTAGGGGCAAAATACCTTAATTTATACTAAACTAACTTTTTCTTAAAATACCTACATTCTTTGAAATACGTAGGTAAATCTACTACAATAACAATGATAAAGCATTTATCCATCGGTATCTTAAATTATATATCATAAAGTTAACCTTGACCTACATAAATATATAATAATGATCATTAATGATTTCATTTTCATTTATTATGAAGTTGTTATGTTAAAAAGTGAATTTGTTTACATGTTTTTATTCAACAAATTATTGAATTTCTGATTCAACTTGATATACCTACTCTATTTATGTTTACTAAAATATTATAATAAGTTATTACATTTATTTGACTAGGTATAATAATATACTAGATATTTACTAAATATATATCATATATACATCATATTTATATATATATACTACAAATGGTATATTTACCCTGGGATAGGATTAAACAGTGATATATTTTATATAGGTATATATTTTTTTGTATCATTCAATCATTATTTTTTCATGTAGTCTATAATTTTGTTTGTAGGTATGCAAACATATAGTATAACTTTGTTGGTTTTTCACCATACTCATTTATCACTTCATCAAGTTAGAATAATAGTACTTTAGGTAGGAACTAAGTTAATAAATAACTAATTCAACTGGTAGGTCATGTTCATTGAAATGTGTGTTGATAGAACAATCTGAAACTATAGGTACTACTTACCTAGTTGGGTTTTTTTTAGTTACCGCACAATGTCATGACTCATGATTGATATTTGATTCTAATGTTTGGCGATAATATTGTAAATATTTTTTTTAGATTCTGAGTGGAGCTATATTAATAATTTATTTTATTGATTTTAAAATGAAGTGTGTATTTTTTTATAATTTTTTATTTTTTTTTTGTTTTTGTGCACGTGATAAGCAGTTGAAATAATGCTTCGACTTTCAACTTTAGTACCTTGTTTAATGGGCAAGTGAAAATAGTTGTTGCATTGGGGAGATGAAAATCTAAAATTCCCAGTAGTTTTCCAAAGCGCTGGGAAAAACAAATAAAAAATCAATAAGGTAAAACGGGAATTTTTACTTAAAATCGGTTTTTGTGTAACTCTAAAACAAATTACCGTAGGTACATTAATTCACTGAATCTTTAAATTATTATTTTCTATACACCATAGACCATACTATTTTAAAAATATTTTGACTTGTTTTGAGCTGTTTACAGACATTTTTGGTTTCCAATCTTTTTAGTATTTTTTTTCTATTTATATCAATCAAATTTTATTAGTTGGGTCAAAAAGCTTGAACATTTAATTTAAAGCTCCCAATATATTATTAAAATAACAGTTGAAAAATATTAAACACACACAGTCACAATTATTTTTCATAATCATTTAAAGTTAAAATGTTGACAAAATACGTAAAAATCACGAAATTTCGAGTTAAAAATATATAACGATTTTTTTTTTATATCTAAAATTTGAAAATTTAATACAAAATTCCTCATAAGTTTGTCTACTCTCATCAAAAAAAATGTCTACTGGAAAGTCAAATTAAATTTTTATAAGCGTTTGAAGTTTACAACATTGGATATTCACTCGATTTCTCAAGTACCTAACGATTTTCTTATTTTGCTGTAATTAAAAACGAATAACTGTTGGTACTTGAAATTTACATCATATATTTATTTTATCAATTCGGATACTTGATAACATTTTATAATTACTATTTTGGACTTCATTATCACACAAAGTTAAAACATAAAAAAGTATTCTAGTTTATTGTGGATATCGAGAATAAAATAAGTTAGAATCTAATCAGAATTAGGTAGTGTCCATTTGAATGTTGAGTTCTGTATTTTTCTGTATTTTATAGACTACTGATTTAGGCGCAATTATTTCACGTTTATTTCACAACCCATTATGTGTATATTTAAAAAGGTGGGCAAGTGGGTGTCGCTCTGCTGTACAGTAGGTTACAAGCGGGTCACTGTATAATGGAGGATATTAAATTTGAATTCAACGATATAATATCATTGTATAAGAAAAACAATTCTGAGCGGAGACGGTATGTCAGTCTAGTTATAAGACATATTATATACATATCTATGGTACTAAACCAAAATTTGACCTATAATAAATTCCAAATTAATCATATCACAATATCCATTAGGTACTTATAACGCGTTATACATCAATAACAAACCCTGATACTATCATAGATATATAATATAGTGTACTTTAGAAGTTTTAAATACCCACGAATAGTATTATACACTCACAACAAAATAACTAAAATAGTTATTCTAGGTTTTTTAATATGTAATTTCGTCCAAATTTGAATTTAAAATATCTGTAAAAAATAACTGTGTTCATATATTTTTTAGATTTTTTGGTTACAGTAAGAACTATTTATGAGAACCTTTGTTTTCAATTTGCAATCCTTAGCTATAAAAACTGAACATTTTATAATTTATTAATTACAATGATTGATAATTTTCGAGATTTTGATAAATTTTGTCAAAATTCGATCTTTAAATGCTTATAAAAAAACTGTGCCTATGTATTTTTAATATTTTTCAACTGATATTGTAACAATATATCAGGAGCCTTGTATTAAATTTTTACACTTTTGGCCCAACAGATATAACTTTATTGATATTTGTAGCAAAAAAAATTAAAAGCGGTAAATGTCCGTAAATAGCTCAAAAAGAGTCAATATTTTCAAAATTGTATGGTGTATAGGAAATGCTAATTTAAACATTCAGTGAAATTTTCATGTATCTACAGTTATTCGTTTTTGAATTGCAACAAAATAAGGAAATCGCTACATGAGAAATCGAGTGAATATCCAATGTTGTAAAAATTTGAACTTCAAACGCTCATAAAAATTTAATTTGACTTTCTTATAGACATTTTTTTTTGATAAAGGTAGATAATCTTATAAGGAATCTTGTATTACATTTTCAAATCTTAGATTTAAAAAGAAAAATTTTTACGAATTCTTAACTCAAAATAATTTGCTAATTTTCGTGATTTTTCCATATTTTGTCAATTTTTGAACTTTAAATGCTTATAAAAAAAAATTGTGACCAAGGATTTTTATTATTTTTCATCTGCCTTTGAAACAATATACTAGGAGCGTTCTATTAAATTTTCAAGCTTTCGCAACCAACAAATAAAATTTTATTGGTATGTTTAGAAAAAAAACCAAAAAAAAAATGGAAAATGAAAATGTCCCTAATAAACAGTTCAAAATAAATCAAAATATTTTGAAAATGTTATCGTGTATATAAAATGCAAATATAAACAACCAGTGAAAATTTCATGTATATACGTTCATTTCTTTTAGAGTTACACCAAAAACCAAAATCTATTTTTTGGAAAACCGATTTTGCGTAAAAATTCCCGTTTTTCCTTAATTTTTATGTTGTTTTTCCCGGCGCTTGTGAAAACTACTGGGAAATTTTTACTTTTGACCCCCCCCCCCCCAAAGTACCAACTAGATTCACTTTCCTATCAGAAAAGCTACTGTTGAAGAAAATCCAAGCACTTTTACTGTCCTAAAACGTGATGACAGACACAAAAAAAAAAAAAATAAATAAAAAAAAAAAACACACATCATTGTAAAATCAATACATTCATCGTTTCACTCAGAATCTAAAAATGGTACTCGCATTGAC